TTCCTAATAAGAGTGCTTAATCGATTAGGTTAGTCATGGAGAAAGCATAATAGTACAAATTCTCCTCAAAGTGTGTATTCTAACTTTAATTCTGCATGAGAAAATTTCTTCTTACTGTTCACAATTGAAGCTTTCTTCTGCGAAGTATTATTTCTTAAGAAAAGCCAGGGTTAGCACCCCACATTTCCTGTAAGGCTGGGACACCCACCGGCTTCTCATCAATAACAAGGCCTGGACAGAAAGCAGGCTGCGTCTCTGCAGCTACCTGATTTTTAAGACCGTGAGGAGGTGTAAGAGCTCATGACGGAAATCAGCCAGTGTCAGACATTTCTTTTTTTTGTTTTAAAAAACAACAAAAAAATAAAAATGATGATACAGAATTTCAAAATATAATAGAAAATTAACAATATATAATATATTTCATATTGTTATCTTTAAAGTAGTTCAGATTATGAGATTTAAGCATCAAAAAATTATCAGACAATCAAACAATGACAGCACAAACTGTTCTTTTTGATGAACTAACAAAGATTAGTAGTATAGCTACCTAAATTGTATATATATCTTTTCCCTTCTTTCTTTTCTCGCTTCCTTCATTCCAGTTCTTTCCTTGTGAGCATATTCTTCCCCTTTCATTTTCACAATATCTGTTGTACAGACCCTTTTGGTAGTTTTACACCAAGGAGACAATATGATATTTACCCACGTGAATCTTATTTATTTCACTTGTGGGTATGGTTTCAAGCTGCAAACATATACCTAAAAAAGCCTCAAGTTTATCCTTATATATAATTAATACTCCATTGTTTGAGAATACAACATCTTTTTATCCATTTCTCAATTGATGGGCATTTGGGTTCTTTTCCAAGATTTAGCTATTGTACATTGTGCTGCTATAGATATGGGTGCACGTGTGATGCTGTGGTTTTGAATTCTACTGGGAAAATGACCTGGAAGGGAAATAGCTGGATTGAATGGGACCTCCAACCCTAGTTTTTTGAGGAATCTCCACAGTGGAATGTCAGACTTTTCTGTGATCTAAAATTTTCCAATTACATTTAAAGCCAAGCATTTCTAAAAAGTTTAAAAGATTCTTAAATTCCTTTTGCATCTACAAAAACACTTGTAACTTCTACATTTCAATAAAACTAAGATATTTGCTCTAAATATATAGTATGTCATATATTTTATATTTCATATTATATATCATACATCACAACATATCAGATAACATGGTCAGGGTTTCAATGGTCATAAATTCATGACAGTAAGACCCACTGCCTTTACCCCTCCCTGTAACGCTTCTCACTTTGAGCACACTTATCCCATCCTCCCACCTTTCTCTGGAGCAGTCCTGCAAGTCCTCGTCCTGAGCATCTGCACTGCACTGTGCCCTGCTCTCCTGCCTCTATCAGCACATTTACCTGTGACGGTCCTTCTCCCTCTGGTGAAGTCCAGAATTTGCACAGTACCAGGTCCGGGGATAAAGATACATTATGGTGGTTTTTTTTTTTTTTTTTTTTTTTTTTTTTTTTTTTTGACAGAAATCGTCTTAAATGTTTGACCATTCATCAAAAATTTAAAATTCACTAAAAGTCTAAGAAAGTTTATTAAAAGTAAAAGGCACATTGCCATTCATTCTCCTGTAAAGATTCTAAAGACGCCTTGCTCTGAATGCATTTACACTGTTGTTCTGGGACATTTGTCTTTTACATCACTAAGTTAAAAATTTTAAGCATTCCCAGGAGATTGATCACCCTTTGCATAAACCCTTTTTATAAAGAAAAAATGTTACATCAGGGCCAGGAGTTCTTTAAGGGGACACCTTTTCCTAGCAGAATTCATTTAACAATGTCAGAGATACTTTTGACTATGTTAACTGGAGGTGCGGTACCCATAGCATTTAGCATGTGACGTCTAGGGACCCTGCTAAATATCCTACATGGCACAGCCCAGTTCTGCCCAGTAAGGAACCATCTGTTTGTTCCACAGTGAAGTCTAAGTTAGGAAGTTCTGGTCCAGAAATAGCTCCATGCCTTGTGTTTAGTGCTGCTTGCAGAGTTTCAGGTAGCAAAGCTAAGTGGGAAATTCAGCCTCACTGGCATTTCAGAGGAAAACCTCCTTTTATGGAAGCTCACATATAGAGTTTGGCTCACTGATTTTACATTTGGGAAGTCTCTCAGAGGACTGTGGTTTTCCACTGGGTTTGTGTTCTTTGCATTGGGTGAGCACTGACTCCTACTCTTTAGCTCTTAGGGAGGCTGAGAAGAGAACTTTCACTCCTCTCCACTTTCTAGGGTTGTTACAAATCTACAGTCATCTCATCCTTCACACATCTCTGCAACCAATTCAAGTCACAAGCAAGGAGAACAAAGGTAAGAAAGAGAAGAAGTAATATGCTGTCCAGAAACCCTGAAGCAGCGTTTGCTGATCCCTAGTGGAGTTATGGAAAGTTAAAATTCACTGAAATTTTAATCAGTGGATAAAAATATGGGGAGTTGTACATCTTGTGTTACATGCCACAAATGTGAGACCACAGATATCGACTTATACTTGCATATGTCCATTAGCTTTGAGTCTCCAGGATCCTGTGTGATTATTCACCACAGAGAGCCTCTTTAAGGGGTTATCACTGGTGAGCAGCAGGAAGCCACAAGTCAGCCCAGTCACAGCCCTGACCCATTCACCCATTCATGCATTGGAATACCTTGAGCACAACTGATTGGGAAAATGTGTATTTTATCCCTTCCATGGGAAAAAAAAATCCACGTGCAATTAGCATACTGGCATGACCTTGCCACCTATGAAAGAAATCACCACATGCAGAGAAAGCTTGTTTGATTTTTAATATATTTTCCATTCTGGTGACAGTGCAATTCAAGAAATGCAATTACTAACTTATCCAGAGAAACCACAGGCTGCCTATCTCTATTTATTTCTACTGCTGGTCTTGATTTTCTTTTTTATATTTTCTGTTCCACATTATGGACCAGAGTGTAATTGTTAATTCACTCACCTACTGATGAATAGAAAAAAGGACAAAGGAAAAATTCACATGGCGTAAGAAACCAGAATCAATTTTTCTTGGACTCTACTGAGAAGCCCACTCTATGGCAACCCCCGCTCTCTCAATTATTTACAATACAAAAGAACAATGATCATATTGATGCTGTGGTAACACATTGCAGTAACTTAAGGAGCTCGGTGACAAAGTGGATGTGGGGACCACCGACCTCCCCAATATCTTCTTCACCCAGGCTAGAAAAGCCAACCATGAGTCCATATTTTAGACACAATCCCACGTGTTGCCATTGAGAAATATGAAATTTAGGGGTACAGAATTCACGTGTGATAACTTGAGTTTTAGTCTCAGTTTAAAAAATTGCAGCAGTTAATGAGTTACTTCAGCATTAGTTTGCCATCCATAAAATGGGAGTAGAAATTCTGTCTCTTTTATTTATCTTGTTATTAAGAATATTTGAAATGCCCTAATGCACTCAGCAAATGGCATTCCAATATGGGAATATCCATCATTGGCATTTCCATCATCAAACTTTTGTGATAATTACTTCCTACAGATCTAGTACAGGCAATCACAGTAGATCTAAAGGAAGTAAAGATGATCCTTATTTTTTCATTTAATTAGAAAATCTCATTAAAATTAAATGTACTGCAATAAAGGCAGGTGTGAAGCTACCATTAAGTTTCTTTGCTTTAAACAAATACTCTTCAGAGCCTGAGATAATTCTCTCATGCTACTTGAGCACAGTATTTGACACTTGAATGTCTTTTTCTTAAAAAAGAATAAACCAATCAATCATTTTATGTAGTTTGGTTTGTTGATAACATCCCCAAATATGAGCACAATGATGCAGATATAATTCACTGATTTCTGTGTTGAATAATTTACGTAGTTGTGAATCAGGGTATGTATCCTAGGTGGTGTCATAGATATATCAGTCAGGATGGAGGATAACAAATGGGCTAACATTTAAAAAACATGATCCATCTGGGGATTTAGCTCAGTGGCATAAGTGCCTGCCTTGCAAGCCTATGGTCGTGAGTTCAATCTCTGGTACCGGTAAAAATACAAAAAAAAAAAAAAAGATCCACATTCAGAAATTTTTAAACATGAAGAGAAGAAAATAACAACCTTTTCTGCATTTTTCATATCAGATAAAGATAATTACTCTTTCATTTAATACCTGTAATAGGAATAATGACACAGAATTCTATTTATTATCTGTGCTATAGAAGGCATCAAGTGTGATATACAAAAAAACCACAATGCAGAGATTTAGTGCTAAGAAAATGCAAGGGAAAGTAAATTTAAATACTTACTTTCACAAGTCATAAACCCCTTGCATGCACTGACATGCACATGGATGAACATCAATTTGATTTTTAACACAGACTGAACTTTTCCAATGAGTAAGAAAAAAGCTTTCTCTGCATAGTGCCAAGTGCAAACACCACATTTAGTGAAGATTGAAAGCTACACATCACGAAATTTTACTAGTACTAATTGGCTTGTTATCAGGTCCATGAATGATAACATTCCTAATGAACCAATATTAGAATACATTCACAAGCATGCAAATAATCTTGCTGCTAGAGTTATTTAATGCACTTTTATGCAAGGAGCATGTGTCCCTAGTTAGATTCTGTTGATGCAGCAGATTATTATAATTCTAATAGGCCCATATAATGCTACTCAACTGATGGTAAGTGGGGCAGGTCAGTTCATCAGGCCTTATCTCTAATTAGCACTAAAAATGCACTGCAAACTATAGCAGAGAAACGACTTGACTGGAAGGGCAAATAGAGCTTTATCTTCAGGGGGAGGAAGCCTATCATGGTTCAACCAAAAACTGACCCTTTGAGAGAATCACACTCACCATCAGTCACCGTGTATTACAGAAACCTGTCCCTGCGTAGAAAAGGAGCCTCCGCTCTTCCCACGTCATCCTCCCCACCCTGAAAACACCAGGCCGGATTACCTTTCTCACAGTGGCTTCCTGTGAATCCAGATGGACAGGCACATGTGTTAGGAGCCACGCATGTTCCACCGTATCTGCAGCCCTCTTCACAGAATGCTGTTGGGAAGAATGGCTCTGCTTAGATAAAAAGTAGTCAGGAAATCCACGGGAAACCTATGAGTGTTGGACCTCTTTTTGTGGTGTCAGGGAACACACACATCTGTAGTTGGCAAAGTAAGAGTTTGCAAACATAAAAAGAAATCAGTTTTATAGTACCTATTTCACTTTTTAATCAACTGAAATCATGGACAAGGTGTTTCTTACAGGTTTGCCTGTGCTAAATGCTGGCTGGCATGAGCAGCTACTGCTGTTGCTGTTATTATTGATATATCTGAAATCAAATAAGAGAATCCAAGAAACTAGGAGGGTAAGATCTGGGGGAAGGCAAAGCCTTTTCCAGTGCTTATGATTTTATACCACATTGTCTTTCACCAACCATCTTTTATGATATTTTTTTTTTTGCTTATAAGTAGGAGTTTTTGGTATTTGATAAATTTTTATAACATCATAATTTAACTCCTTATTTTTATCTAAATAAACCATTTCCAATATTTTGGTAATAAATCAATGAACTGTTTTTGTAGTTACAGTGCTTAGTTTACCCCTAAATGATTCCTCTGGTGAAAAGGCCTCAGTGCACCAAAGCTGCTGAAGAGAAGGAGGACTATGCCACTTCATAAAGCTTTCAGAGTTACCAACTCCATCCCAGGGCTACCCTGCTGACCTGTGCAGATCTGCTGACCTATGAAGATTATGTTAGCTCCCCCTGTATGCAGCACTCACAACAGGACAGCATAGCAGCCCACCCCTCTCCACTGCAGCATTAAATACAATCGTCCATTCACACAGAACTGGTTACCACCTACCACCTCATCCACTGGACTGTGCAGCCCACAGGACAAGTAGCAAAATTGCTTTTGCTCACACTCAGTCCTAGTTGTATCTGACTACATAGCAAATCTCAAAAAATATTGTTTTGAATTCTTTCATAGCTATTCTGCAGATTGAAGATAAAAAGCTCTTGTTATAAGAATTTTGAATCACTTCCAATCAGTATACCATACTGTCTCTTATTGTTAAACAACCAATAAGTCAGCATACTATAAAAATACATTTAAAATAATATCAGTGAAGATGATTGGAAGCATTAATCTGGAGTAGCTTTTATTATGGGAGACAAATGTTTTAAATTTTAATTGCAGTCCAGAAATATCACCCACCCTGAAAAAACTGCCATGGTTGTATTGTGCTACTGGCATCATCACATAATCAATGTTAGTTTAGCTTTAAGGAATTAAATTATTTGTTTAGTTGAATACAAGTCCGAGTACCCAGAACTTGTCCCAACAATCTCATTTCCATTTCCTATCACTTGGATTATTTCACGCCCTTGCTTCAGCAATTAATTATGAACTTCACTGCCCTTCCCTGTAAGAAGAGTACACCATGAAATGCAAACACCCTATCCTTAGTACACTTAACCAACGCACAAAAAGATTTATATAGTTTTTACCTTGCTATGCTCATGACAAAATGTAAAACATATAAATAAATATGCAAAATCACTTGTCCCAAAAATTACATATTGTGTGCTCTGGTGACTAACATTTCACATAACATATTTAAAGTATTGTTCTGCATAGAAGTGACTAACAAAAAAGGACAGGGCATTTGCAGTTTAAAAATGACAAGAAAATTTTGTAAAATAAATATACAAGCAGCATCAAAAGAGGCCAGAACTTTGGAAATTGAAAGCTTAATTTTCTTTTTAAAAATTTTATTACTGCATGTTAGTATTGTATAACAAGGGGGTATGTTGTGGCAGTGAGTATACACATTTAACATTTCTTAATAATTTCAGTCCCCTTCTGGCCCTCTCCCTTTCCTCCTGTCTCCCTCTTGATCCTTTCCTCAGCTCCAGCATTCTACCCCTCAGTTTCTATTGTATCTGTTATTTTAATCAGTTATTTATTACTTTATGCATTTTCTCATATTAGCAGACAACATGAGATATTGAACTTTCTGAATCTAACTAATTTCACTCAACATGACAGTTTTTAGTTTAACTTTTTAACAGTACAAATGAAACAGTGTTTCATCTAGATTCCACACACCTGGTCAGAAGACTGTGTGACATTGCACTGTTGATAGATGTTCATGATTTACTGAACCTGTAGTTAGAATTAATAGTGGGAGGTGTCGCATGGAAAGCATGAGATGCTTGTGACACTGTGTGACTGTACACACATCATAATCAAAACCCTACATGAGGATAAAATGAACTGACATTTGTAGGAATGTAAAAAGTGTTTGGCACATAGTTGCTGCTATATAAGTGTTTTGTTTATATAAATCCTATTGGCAGCAGTGTCATTGTGGCTGTGAACAAACTATCCAAGACCCAAATAATATAAACCCATCCTACAGGATGCACAGGTTCATCAAGACGAGTTAAAGTCATCTACTGTGATTCACGATTGATTTATTACAAATAAGTAAATCAGGCCTTGGTGTGGAGATGTCTGATAGATTTTAGCGTTTCATACAAAAAAAAAAGGTGAGACAGAAACTATGAAGTCAGGTGCCTTGTCTAGGACCTCACAGCTACTGAGCAAAGGAATCTCTACCTTAAAAATCTTACCTCTTTTTCATATGTTACAATTCAGGTTTGTCTATAATTTCGTATTCACATAGATAGATTTACTCTTTTTTGAATAATTCAACTGCAGCAGAAATAAATAAAAAATAAGAGAAACATATACTCAGATATTATGGATTACATTAAACAATTGGTGGCATGTAAAAATTAATGAACCTATTAGTACATCACTTGTCTGGGCCTTATAATATTTACAATAAATCTAAATATGTATCTATTTTAAATGGAATTTACTTGATGTAAACAAAGCTTTCATTAACTACTTGAGTATTAGATGGCATGAAAATTTTAAAAACCACAAAAAATAATGAAGTTGTGAGCCATCCATAACTTAAAAACTCTGGGGAATGAATATTAAAATAATTTTTCTTTGAACATCTCATAAAATATCCATTTAAACTGTTGCATTTTGCTCTGAAGTTGGTGGGTGGATTCTTTCTACTGGATAGGGTATGTTCAACCAACAGTGCACCCAGATGTGAAAACAAAGGACTCTGATACTCAGGGGACATTCAACGTATATAGTGTTACTTGTTGGGTCAAAGCTACAGAAAGAAGTCAGGTCACCACTGCCCTGTCTTGCAAGTTTGTGAGTAAATGGGCTATTAGAAACTAGGATCCAAATGCTTATTCTCAACTTACTGATTGTGTAACTTACAGCAACTCATTTCACCTCTTTTTCCTCCATCTCAAGCAAAGCAATGATTAATACTGATAGCACTAATGTTGTGAAAGTTAAACTCACCAACATTAACCACAAAGTACAGTGCAAAGCAACTGGAATGTTCTTAAGAACTGGAGGAAACTGCCATTTTTGTTATCATCAGGAATCTTCTTTTCAAGACACCAATACTGGGATAGTTAAACTGGATTTTCAACTTGATAGGCTTGAGAGCAACTCAGGAAAGAAACATAGTTTGTGTATATTTTTGTAGGTCATGGTCTCTTCCTCTCTGGCATAGTTACTAATTTTTGCTTCCTCAGTGACATAAAATGAACACTATTACTCTAACATACACTTCTGCCAGGATATTTTTGTTATGCAGACAGCTGATGATCATTGGCTGAACCTGCAGCCATAAACCAAATATACTTCTCCTCATTTAGGTGTGGTGGTGAATATTGAACCCCAGTGATGAGAAAGTTGATCAGTCTAGAATACGGGTACCAGCAGTGGAATCACTGCTGATCATGCAGCTCAGAAGCCTTTGAAATTGGTTTACTGGAGGAGTTTGGCAAAGTTTACAGATCCCAGCGAGAGAAGCCCCAGAATATTCCAAGCAGAGCTGGGTGGGGAATTATCGTCAGAGCTCAAAATTCTATAATGTTGGTAAGAATGCCAATGGTAAAAGGCCAGGTTGATGAAGTTTGACTTAGGAATGAGGACTATATAGGGAACTAGGCTAGAGGTAAATCATGTTAAAGTCTGGCAGAAAATTTGATATTTTTCTTAAGTCCTGAGATTCTGCAGGATGATCACTTTAAGGGAAGAGGACTAATTGATCTGATGGAGGAATTCAAAGGCATATCAATGTTCATGCTATGCCTGTATAAAATTATGACCAATAACAAAAAGCATGTTTTAAAGCATAAATTAGTCATAAAAGTTGAATTTTGTCCTTAAGCCACATGTAAATTTGATGTGGTTGCTATAGAGACACACACTGCTAATAAGACCACAAAATTTTGAACCAGGAGAAGGATGCCTTGATGGCATCTGGTGCACCTAAAAGAATCAATTAATTACAGATTCAAGGTTGAAAAAAGAGTAAACACTTTATCTGAGAAGACATCCCTCAAGACCCCTGTTCAAGAAAGATGAGCTAGAACCTTTGCATAATTAATTTAGACATGCTCTACAATCCATGGACTCAGTGGTTTTGGCAGCTATGATCTAAGGGAACCAAGCCACTATTTGAGCTCTCACAGATGTTGGTATAGCCTGCATAATGCTGACTTTTCAGCATGCATAATACAAGAGTTGTAAGATCACATAAGCTTCCACCTAGATTTCAAAGGAAGAACTGGAAAACCAGGCAAAATCAGGCAAATGGAACCTGAAGGAGGATGTGGGCATAAATCCAAAGGTGAAGTAGTGACCTTGAAGGTACAAAGAACATGAACTTTTTTAGGCTGTGGTCTGTAAAATCATTAGCAATAGGGATGCCAAGTCCTCTGGGACTCATATCTCACCACCACACACTCAGAGATCTTAGACAGGGAGCAATCATTTTAAAGTTTCCCCTGCTGGGTTTCAGTCTTACTTTGGTCCCCTCCTTTTCTATTAGAACAGTAATATTTACTGGTATCACTGTATTGAAAATAAGCACCTTACTTTTTGAATTAAGGGTTTACAGCTAGGAGGTTTCTTTGGTTTTGAACAATGCTGAAACTTTTG